CTATTTGTCCCAACACTGAGAAGAAGGACGAGTTGATGAACTCATTCTCTCACATGGAGGACACTATGCGCAAGTGCTTCACCGAGGACGACAAGGCAATCATCCGACGTGATGTTGAAAGCCGAAAGAGGAAAGCAAAGTCATCCAAAGACGTCGAAGACGAGGACTACATGGATGTGGATGATGAAGATATTGAACTTCCCGAAGAAGAACCGGAACTAGGAGGTAAGGTACCACCTCACTCTCCGAGAGCCAAAGGTAGACCACACTCGTCAGACTCTGCAAAAGAGGAATACGCGAAAGCGGTCGAGGCAACCAAGAAGGCCTTTGGGAACGCCAGTTTCGTCACCAGATTCAAAGAGCCCGTCGACCTCTTTGACATTGCCGATGACAAAGAAGGAGGAGAGTACAGGGTCGCAAATCACAGGGTTGATAGATCAGGTCCTAATGGAAAGTGGGAACTTGATGCACTTATTCAGGAGGCTGCAGCACTCGGAATAAAGATGCCCAAAGTGAAGGACCTTGCTCCTGACCCACAACAAGTTCAAAAGGTTGGATATCGGCAGATTGAGGTGACTTGCGATAGAGGAAGCATCGAGATAATTCCACAGTATGGAGTTACATTTTATGTGGAGTACTGGAATGGACCGAAGAGAGATGCAACTTTCACGGATCCACCAAAGATGAACCCAGCAACTCGCATCGACAAGTTCAGCGAGGAGAGTCAGCGGGTCAACGAGGTTAGCCATAGACTCAATAGACTACTCAGGCATGGAGTGGGAAAGCATAATGGGATTCAATCGCACCGCGGTCGAAAACCTCATGTGTCCCCGAAGTGCAATGAGGGTGGATGGGTGAACATCGATGAGATCCTGGAATATGACCATGTCTTCAACGATGGTGTCGATATCAGTACTATCTCAGATGATCAACGTGAGCAAGATGTCAAGACAGAGCGATACCAGTATTTATGCAAGGCGATGTGGCATGCAAAGAAGTTGCAGAACAGAGTACGCTATCAGATTGCCGCCATTCGTATCTCAAGGGAGGATGTCTCACTCGAAGAGGAAAGGCAATACTGGGCAAACCTCATGTATTACAGCACAGATGCACCGTCATTTCTGAAGCATGAACGTTGGATCGTTCCTTGTGCAATTCGAGCTGTTGCCTCTCACAATTCTGGAAGAGAGACTGTTCTTGAAGAGGATGTGTCAATATATCCTGTGTGGACTTCACATCTCATTCCAGAGAATGTGGCAATGCAGCTTGGAGGAAGCTTTCACATGACATCGCTTTCCAATATTGAGTCAATCATGAAACTAGGAATTGTCCCTGGTGGAACGGAGGGATATAGAGGTAGTGTTTTCTTCAACCACTTTGCGCCGTGGGATGATCGATCATCAAAGATTCTGAGATCAAGATGGCCAAGAGTGGGAATGCCCGTTTGCCTTTATGTTCCAATCATGACTTTGAGGAAGCTTGGGGGAAGAATTTCGGAGAATTCCTACACTGTTGTTTTTAGAGAAGTTCCATGGAGATGTGTACGAGGTGCTTGGTATTGGGACGACTACGTTCAGGCATGGAGGAGACTCCTGCTGGGAAGCACTGGAGAGCAAGTTGTTCTAGCGGCACGTCATGGACTTTGGGTTGCTCAGAAGCATACCATCCTCGAGAGAGCCGACGAAGTCACGAAGTCAGCCTCGGCGACAGATGACAACGTCCAAAAGCTCGTGTCCCTTATCGATGAAGTACAATTCGATGACAATGGAGAGCTGATCGAGGATTCCATCAGTGAGGAAACTTGGGACGAAATCATCTCCAGAACATGTGAAGGGTATCGCAACGTGGATGGCAATATTTTGTGTCCATCATGTATGCATTTGACTTCTTCGTCTTTGTCCGTGTGTCTATCTTGTCAAGGCAGGCTACTCTCGTGTGGTATTCGCAACACTGTCATTTCCGATTCACCCGTTGATCTTGTGAGCGACGATGAAGAGGAAAAGAAGGAAGAGAAGGAGCCTGAAGATGATGATCAAGATATCTTGGACCAGGCCACTATGGACGAGATCAGAAAGGCTTGGGAAGAAGACATCGCTCAAACTGAAGCAGCTGACGACGACGAGGACATGGACAATCTAGATCCTTCCAAACCGTCTGATGGTGCAGAAAACTTCAAGAGTGACAATGTCGAGACCCCATCTTTCAATGAGGACGAGATCGACTACGGTCGTGATTCTGATTTAGAAGATGAAGACGAACGAAACGTGATCATCGAGATCCAGAGGAGCACACAACAATATGAGGGGAAGAAACGTCAAGATGGTGAGCCCGAGGATGAAGACGTCACCGACGACTTACATCCGGAGGCGAATCGACCGACAGATCGTGATGAACCGGGATACTATGCACAGCATGGAGCGACCGAGTTCAATCCCGAAGAAGGAAGAGACAACGAAGATCTCCCCATCTATTGTCGAGTACCGGAACCTCGAATCTATGCGCATCAAGAGAGAGCCTACTGTCAGGACGTCTCCATGAATGCATCGGGTTTGATGGATAGGTATGTGGTCAAATGTGTGCTGAACATGATCTCCCTGATGTACAAGAGCTACTATTGCACCAGCCTTACCGACTTCAAAGCAAATTGGAAAAGGAAGCGTCTGGATGTGATAAGCAAGTTCGGTACAGAGGATTTCACTGAAATCGATGACGATGGGAGACCATTGGATCCAACAGATGACATGATGAGAATCTTTGCCAACAAAAACAAGATTACGATTGAGGAGGCCTGGCACCGATTCAGAGGAGAGCAATTCATTTGCAAGGTGGCACTCGTGATCCTATCATTTGGTCATACTCCGTACTCCTTCAAGAAGGAATATGGCAACCTCGAATACTCCACCAACTTGACTGACGTCCAGCTTGAGGAGTTGAAAGCGAAGAAAGCCAGCGCAATGACTGAATTGGTACAGAAGTGCATCCATGCGATTTATGGTTGTCGGACATATTCTTACTTTAGAACCGACGTTACATCACCCAACCACAAGGTGATCGATCCTCTGGACATCATGTACTCGAGAATGAAGAGCAAATGGGAGAAGTCTATTCTGCTGATCATTGATCAACATGAGATCAGGTTGCCCCCACACGCTCAGAATGTCGTAGAGTCAATGGCCAGAAATCCCAACATTGGACATACAGAGAGATGGATGAGCGTGGTAGAACAGAAGCATGTTCAAGCTCTTACCGATCGTCTAGGCTTTGGAGATAGGGCCAAGGAGATTCAGGGCAAGAAGAAGCAGGCAGCCAAGGCAACAGCTAAGTCAACATCAACGACTAAGTCTGAAGCGAAAGCAGCATCTTCGTCAAGAGCTGAGGCAAAGCCAGCATCTACACCCAGAACCGAGGCCAAGCCGTCGTCAGCACCAAGTGAGGAGCCAAAACCTTCAACAGCACCTAAGAGTTTCGGGCCCTCATCAGCAGAGGAGAGCAAGGCGAAGGCTGCTCCAAAAGCCAGACCACATGATAAATCACCATCCAGTGCTACCGATGTGTTTGAGCAAGCTTTGCAGGAAGATCTTGCCGCCAACGCACATGCAGCAGAAGGTACAACTTCTTCATCATCCCGAGGACATTCCAAAGGAGGAGGCCAATCTGGAACATCTTGGAGGCCGGCGCTAACGCAAGAACGTCGCGAAGTACCTCAACCTTCTGAAAAGGGGAAGGGAAAGAGCAAGTCCAAGGGAAAGTCCAAGAAGGGAGAAGATGATCGACGGGATGCTCAGGGCAGCTGGGATCATCGTGGATGGAGAGGTTATCGCCAGTGGTGATTTCTTTGAACGACTATGAGGATACCATGCAAACCAGGGAGGAAGTCATTCACCGGATGTCTATCTGACCTGAAACGCTGTAAGTGTATCATTGCAAATCATCAATCCGATTTGATACCATGAGCATAATGGAAGGCAGACAGTCACCGACTGTCTCTCCGACTTGCCGTTCTGTAAGTGTATCCAAACCAAAACCTACATCTTTTGAGAAGTGTGAAGTCAGTTGCCGATGTGACATCTACGTGGAAGTCACCAGTTCGGATCTACATCAAAGCGATGCTCTTTTGAGTGGATACTGAGCGAGGCCTCGTGACTGTCTCACTTGTTCAATTCGATTTTCATAGGTTCTGAGCCATAGTTGCACACTTTATATGTAAAAGTCCGCTTTAGTCCAGCATGTTTCGTAGTATGAGCCTCATATGAGTCTCACGGCAAATCATACAATTTCTTTTGTAGCACTTACATCCCTAAATTTTCGTGTGTGATCGGAACATATTGTTGCCGTTCACATGGGGGGTGCGAATGGAAGTGTAGCGACACGTACAGTGCAACTTGTACATATATATGTACCATATGTACTTTGGCTCAAGGATCAAGCGACTAGAAAAGGTGCGGTTTCCGTTCCGACGCTACGCCGCTTATGGATCGTCAGTGATAGCTTCAAACTTCGCTGATTAAGATCCACTCGCATTTTAAAAAAAGCTATAAGTATGTATGTATGTATGTATGTATGTATGTATGTAGGTGTGTCTTTCAAAAGCTTTCCTTCTATGAAAATATAAAAATCTAGGAAATCTACTTTCCCAGAGATCCAGAGGAAAGCTATTGAATCTAGAGATGTATTGTATTATATCTTCATTCGCTCATGATGCTACATTCATTGTGGGCAGAGAGAGATTTACCTGATAATATTTATCATTGGTGTTGCACATTGATAGTGGGCAGACGAAGAGCTGTTATTTGTTGTCATTGACATTGGACATGGAGACTGGGCACAGACAGATCCAAAAAATTATGTTTCGCCTAGTTCTCAGAGCAGTTTTTGAAATTTTGCACGCTATTTACAGTGTTTTCTAAGGGTTTTGAGCTGTGTGCTCTCCCAAGCACACCCACCCTCTTTTTTAATAGGTACTCGGGATTACTGATCCAGAACTCGTTTGTGGTCCTCAGGACTCCTCCGACGATGGCTGTTATTGTTCGGATCAAGACCTTCGAGGATTGCTTCAGTCCATGTCGGGAGCATCGACCAGAAGCTTGGTTTGCAGCTGTAGCCAGCACGGGCCACACAAGTTGTACTTGTATCCAACGTGTTAGACCATGACTGTGAATAGGTTGTTTTGCCATTCACTTTGCTGCTTGGTATGTTTGCAGGGATCCTAGGGGCAGCGCAGGCTGGAGACAAGGTCCCTAGGCCCTAGGTCAGGAAACAACAACAACAACAAGGCACAAACAAAAACTGCAGCCCCGTTACAAGATATCTTGGTCCTTTGTTTCTGCAAGGGGGTGGAAACAAAATCTGCAACCCTGCCCCCCCCCCGAAAACAACCAGCCAACATGTACTTTTACCAGTAGCGGTAGTGCTTGTACTAGTGCTAGTACTAGTGGTACTAGTAATAGTCGTAGTCGTTGTTGTAGTGGTCGTAGTAGTAGTAGCAGCAGTAGTAGTAGTAGTAGCAGAATGAGTAGTAGTAGTAGCAGAATGAGTAGTAGTAGTAGGAGGAGGAGGAGTGGTAGTGGTAGTGATAGTGGCAGTGGCAGTAGTAGTAGTAGTCGTCGTGGTGGTGGCGGTGGTGGTGGTGGTAGTCCGGTCAGCAAAGCCTCTGTAAAACTTCTACTTAGAACCTTTACCACATCCTAGAGACAAAAACTGCAGCCCCGTTGTTGTTTTTTGAACCCCCCCCCTCAAAAGATGTTGTTGTCTCTACCCGCCCTAGAAACAAAATCTGCAGCCCCGTTGCTGTTTTTTGACCCCTCCAGAACAACATCCCAAAAAAATCAAAAAACAAGAGACAGACCAACCAAGACTTGAGTACCACAACGACAAGAAGTCCAGCTACTAACATCTCTCCAAACCTTCGAACCTGCCCCTAACAGTGTCCCTTTGAAATCCCTGACTTGCAACATGTGACAACTATGTTGGGCAGCTGTGTTTGCCTCTACCAAAAACAACAACAACAACAACAACAACAACAACAACAACAACAACAAGCTACAAACAAAAACTGTAGCCCCATTACAACATGTCTTGTTCCTTTGTCTCTACAAGGGGGTGGAAACAAAATCTGCAGCCCCGTCGTTGTTTTTTGACCCCCCCCCCAAACAACCAGCCAACAAGTACTTTTTACAAGTAGTGGTAGTGCTTGTATCGTTGTTGTAGTCGTCGTAGTAGTAGTAGCAGCAGCAGTAGTACTACTACTTCAACAACAACAACAACAACTACTACTACTACTACTACAACTACAACTACTACTACTACTACTACTACTACTACTACTACTACTACTACTACTACTACTCGTACTCGTGCTCGTACTCGTGCTCGTACTCCTCGTCGTCGTCGTCGTCGTACGTCGTCGTAGTAGTAGTAGTTGTTGTTGTTGTTGTCGTAGTCGTAGTCGTAGTCGTATTGGTGGTGGTAGTGGCAGTGGTAGTGCTAGTGGTAGTGGTAGTGGTAGTAGTAGTGGTAGTAGAAGTAGTAGTACTTGTTGTTGTTGTACGTAGTTGGTGTTGATAGAATAAACAGCCGCCCAATATAATTGTCACATGTTGTAGCTTCGGAACTTCAAGGGGACAAGGTTAGGGATACGGTTGAAGGTTTGCACGAATGTTGGTTTCGTAAGTAGGTGGACTTGTTGGACTTGTTTCACTGAAGTCTGGGCTGGTCCATTTTTAGTGTTTTTGAGGTGTTGTTCTGGAGGGGTGGGTCCAAAAAACAACAACGGGGCTGCAGTTTTTGTCTCTAGGATGTGGTAGAGGTTCTAAGTAAAAGTTTTACAAAGGCTTAGCTGACCGGCACAACAACAACAGCTACAGCAACAGCAACAACAACATCCTGCACTTGGATGGAGGGGGTAGAACCGTCAGCTGCCTTGTGCGTCACATCACTCAAGTTGTATCTTTCCTCACCAACTCGGTTCTATCGTGTGCCTCAAGGCGCCTGGAATAGCGATTGAACAGCACGGATGCAAATCATTGTCCATCATTCCTCCGTTGTAACCATTCATTCTGGCCCTGTGAATTCCACAAGAAGTCTAACCTGAGAGCGCTTGGATTTTTAGGTTTGTTCCTTTCTGTTCCACTGAGAGTGTGTGGTGCCGGGGCACGCTTGGCCTGAAGGCAACTCAGCGCCTGTGACTCTGAACATCGTGGTAGGCTTGCAGGAGCGAGTCCGTTTCTGCCTTCACCTGCTTGGCTAACAGAACTCCTGATGTCATTTTGCCATTCTCACCCCCACAAACAACTTTGTCGACCATGCCAATGACCTCCTTGAAAGGAGGCCAGCAGTCACAGGAGGCCAGCAGTAACTCGGCAGCATTAAATGGGTGCGTTTTTGGTTTATTGTTCCATCGATAGCGAAATCCATGGCTACAGTCCTGAAGCTCCACTTTGTTTTTTACGTTTTTTTGGGGGGGCATCTGATCTCCAAGCTCCTTTGGAACCCCGAATGGTGAGGCTGCCGTTACTAACAATCAAGCTCCTTGGTTGAATGAGGTGCCCAGAAACTTTGGTAGGCGATTCCCGAATTACAATGCAGATGTTACACTTTGGGTTGCGAGAACAGGATCTCACTGTATCCAACCGCGTTATAATTAGCAATTATTGAAGTGATGAGGCGCCCACTTGAGGAGAGAAATGGACTAAACCGTTGTGTTCACCTGGAACCACATTGTTTAATTTGCACATATACATTGGGACATTCATCAGGTTCTTTAGTGGTGAACCTGCCATAGCCAATACACTATTTCATAAGACCTAGAAAGTATTGCATATACTTTGAGAAACTATAACACCATAACATGAGAAAAACCTCATCCAAACCACTTGAAACTAATCATAAAACCAAACTATACTATATCAGAAACACTGGACATTATGCAAGTGTTAGTACAAACAATCTGGAAATTACATTCTATTGAAAAAACAACCAGATGAACTATGGGATTCTTGTTGCAAGAATGCTTCATATGTACAGGAACAGCCTAAAAACAAATTCTAAACCTTAAATACCACAATCTACTATCTACCTATCGCAACCTGACCCAAAGCTCATCGCAATATGATATACATTTAGAAAGGATGAGGTCCCCACTTACAGATATGGCGTCGTGTTTATTTCGTTTGCTACTTCCGGCATAGTGCTACAGATGATGATCCTACTGAGTACCACAGCACCTCACTTTTTGGGAGTGGTGATCCCTCAAAGGAAGTGATTGCATACTGTACACCTTAAGAAAGCTTACAAAAACTGGGTCCACCCCCCCTCACCTTGCAATGACAGCATGTTGAGCTTTCGATCCGAATAAACAACAGCACTTTGCTTTTGGTTCGCAAGGCAGAGGGCATTTCCGATGAAAGAGTTCAGCTCATCAACCAGATCTTTACTGCACTGAACCGAAGTTGCACTGGCTACCTCAATGAGAGCGAAATGCGGCCTTTTGCTAATCGAACGGGCAACTTGCCATTGTTTGGAGCATTTTGGAGCGCTTTTGTTGCTTCTTTTGTGTTTTGGATGCCAAGGCTGCCAAGGTGTGTACCAAACTAGGTGACGACTGCTGTTTGAGAATCCCTTCTCGAAGCTTGTTTTGGGTGAGGAGGCTGAAGACCTTTGCTGACTTAAAACCCATTGGATGTAAAACGAGGTTTCGAAGGCACAGATCCAGAATGGCAAGCAGAATTCCACTTGCTCCAGAAAGAGTGTGACTAAGCTGCAAACAGGCAAAAAAAATCAAAGCACGAGCACAGATTGACCGGCAGAACCTCATGAGAGTTGTTGTGCAAAAACATGCCTGTCTCTGTGTCTGAGAAGGGGGTCTCATTGCATTGGCTAAGGTGGTTCCGGCCCAGGGATTTCATTGTACCACTTTCAGCGTTTGGCCAATGTGACTTGGAAAGACGGAAGAACAATTATATAACAAATCTGCAGTGTTTAGAGATTGTGAAGTCGATTGGTGCCTTGTTTGTTCTCTATTATCCATTTTTATTTCTTTTGGTAGGATATTGGACAGCAAGACATGCCGTGTGTCCCGATGCTTTCTTGCTACACGTTCTTTGGACGCTGAGCAATATTCAAGTGAATGACCGGAGGTTGGACGCCCAAAGTGTTGAACTCTCAAGACTTCAAACATCCTGAAAAGCAAAACACTTTGCTCAGTCCTGAATCCGTCCAACTGAGGACACATCTGATGATGGTTGCTATTGTTCTGACGAAGATCTCCGAGACTTCCTTCAGTCCACGTGTGGAAGGGCAACTAGAATCTTAGCTTGCATTAGATCAACGGCAGGTGCCATGGAGGATTTGATCTAAGAAACATCGTAAGTGAATGTAACTAGTAACAAGACGCTACTAGGAACAAGGGCATCGCTACTAGGAGCAAGGACGCTACTAATAGTAGCTCCTGGCCATACTACTAGCAACAAGAAGCTCTAGTGTTTCTTTATGGTACAGCGATGATATCCAACTCAGCGACCTGCAGCCGTTGATCCGACTTGTGGTTTGGGGGTAGGCACAGGTTGGCACAGCCCTAAGGACCTCGGTTAGGACAATTCAAGCGAAGGGACAACCGAGGCTGAACACGAGGTTAGTAGCTTCTTGCTCCTAGCAGCTTCTTGTTCCTAGTAGTAAGGCCAGGAGCCCCTAGTAGCGTCCTTGCTCCTAGTAGCGATGCCAGGAGCCCCTAGTAGCTTCTTGCTACAACTGGGATGCACGCATACAAGGGAGCATGATGGAATATGACAGAGCAACCCATGCTGCTTGTTCAGGCACCGTCCGTCGAGGTAGAAATTACATAATTACGGCAACCCTTGTCTCCTTATTTGGAGGGAATGCCATGGCTCAGCTTCACAGTTGACTCCAGTTGCTCATCTTAAGGCCATAAATATAGGAAAATCGACAATTCGTGCTCAACCTCATGTTCAACCTCTCTTGATGAAAAGGTAAGTGATGGTAGGTGTGTAATGTGTATATATATATATATACAATTACATGAGATGCGGTGCGCTTGCTTGTTTGCCTGAAGGCCAAGCAGCGCCTGTGGCACCGCCTGAGCCTCGCAGAGGGCCAGCTGCCATCTGGCCGCACTACGCAGTACTAAATGGAAAGCAAGTAAGTTCCCCTGTGTTTACCCTTCTATCACATTTCATTGGATTCCCACGCAGAAGGCCTACACCTTTCTCGTTTAGTCCCGAAAGGGCGGAAGTCGCTGATGTGCAGCACGTGATCTCCAAGGACTACGCGGACTACTTTGGAACCCCGAATGGTGCGGGCGCCGCTACGAATCACGCTCCCTGGAAGGCTCCTGGGCTGGAAATGAGGTGCCTTCCGCCGGCCCCCATTTCCTGATCAGCATCCAGAAGCGATGCTTGCATTTCATGCAGTACTTTTCGACAAACACGCAGGGAGTTCCTTGAATCACTCACACCACTCGTCCTAATCAATATAACATTTGTAATTACAATGCTTAGTTTGGCTCAACTGACCTTGTTGTGTAGTGACCAGACTCATGCTAGTGCTAGCGACCAGTGACTGGAATATCAACCTGTTGCCTTGCAACGGTCACCAAGGCACTGGGCACCCCTGAAAGGACTCATCTCATCGAGATTGTTTTCACTGCCTTGAACAAAAGTGGCACTGGCTACCTCAATGCGGATGAAATGCGGCTCTTTGCCAATCAGACAGGTGACTCGGATTCGTTTGGGATGCAGGCCGGTGCAATGTTTTGTCCTCCAGACTGGACACGCCCCGATAACCAAGAAGCTGTGCCCTGCCTGGTTGGCGATTGGCGTGATACTGTGATTTGGTGACACGACCGCCCTAGATTGAAATCAGCATTTGAGCACGGATGACAAACGACCTTGCATGGCTTGCATTCCGTGGGGTCAGGGATGGTCAGGGCAATCGAGGCAGCCCACAATTCCAAGAAGGAAATCAAATCGACTTGTGTTAAATTGTCGTTAACCCATGTGTGTAATTGATTTTTGCGACAGTACGTACGAAGGCTCAACAATCCGCTGTCCAGGTTTTGAGGGCACTGATGCGGAGTGGCGAGAAGAATTCTCCTTGCTGGCGCGAGAGTGTGGCCGAGCTGCACACCGCAGACCGTGGCTGCCGCTGTCTCTGTTTGTGGACCAAACTCGGCTTAACGGCTCAGGTGGCTCCGTTGAGGGGATCTCACTGAACCACTTTCAGCGTTTGGCGAACGAGACTTGACAAAGAAACGAAAAACATCGAAAACACCGAAGGCAAGTTGGGGCACTTATTTTTCAAAAACTGGACCACAAGCGCTGTGATCGCAAGTATTTGTTTCAAGTGTCTTGCTCATTGAAGTTTGTTGTGTTGGGTATAACCATGACGTCCAGATTTAGACTTTTGGTTGGTCTGCAATCATCGGTTATATTGATATTTATGCCACTTTTAAAAATGCAGGCTTGCCTGTCAGTTGCGTGAGATATGTCAGGGCTCTCAGCTGTTCAGTACCTGCGTCATCCTTTTGATACGCCGCATCACCCAGTCACCAAACATCAAGGGAACTCGACCTCCTTGGGGTTGCAATGACGATAAATGAAATGTTGCCTGGTTTCGAAGGGCCAGAACGCCATTATTGCACATTTACCAGCTTGCTTGTACTTTACTGCTTGCTTGTTTCCAATGCAGATTTGGTGGGACTGCTCGGACAATTCCGCAAATCGTTTTCATCGTCGAGGCCGAGTTGACAAGGTCAGAATTCCTTTGCTCGGGAGGCTAGATTGAAGTGCAGTGACAAGGAAGCCACATGTCCTACTCCTCCGAAAGTGTAGTGACGACCACAAAAGCTATAACACATGTGTATGTCAGTTTTGAGGAGGTTCAACTTCGATGCTTTGCAACAGAGATACAGAGGGGGAGAGGGGGTGGAAGGTCAGCAAAAAGTTATATAGTTGCTTATAGACTTGTAGGCCTTTATCAATTAGTTTTGCAGGGCATCATGGCCGCTGTATGCAATGAGTACGAATGAGAACTCATCGAACTCGTGTTCACCTATTCCGACATGCGTACGGCTGAAGTTTCCATTCACTTCCCAATCACCCTGAGGACTCCTCGGACGATGGTTGCTACTGTTCGGACGAGGATTTCCGAACATTGTGGGGATACTTGGTGGGAAGCTTGTCTTGCATCACAACGCGGCGCGAGGCCAAACAGAGACGCACGGAAGGAGGTTGAACCAAATGCTGGATGTTCAAAGTCTGAGGTAAGCGTGTAACTAGCCGGATAGACTGCCAAGTTCCGTGCCAAAAGTGCTGATGGGGCAGAACATGCATGTCGCCGGTGACCATGCCATCAATCCATGCCTTCGTGGTACAGAAAAGAATGCACGGTGACCAGTGACCAGGGTGTGCTTTTTTTGTTTCTAGGTGCAGAAGATTTAAAATCAATTGTGAGATGAAGTCATGCTGGCAAATAATGGTTGTTGATTAATAAAGCCCTGGTGTGGTAATTGGATGTGCTTTCTTCTGTTCTTGAGGTAACTCAACGGCGGCACCACTTGCTTGCCCTGCACCTGAGCCTCAGCCAGCAATTCAGCCACAGTGTCCGAACAGTCCAAGAGGATCGGTACATGCTGCAGACGGTTAGCAATGGACGGTCGGACGGAAGTTGCTTCGACTCATGAAATATAGTGCTCATTTGGCATGGATGTACTGACACATACTGTACCTAACACGAGATTTACATACACCAATCTTCCCAAGCATCCTACAAAAAATCTCCATGGATGCCATTTGAGGTTTTCGACGTAAGATGACATGCCCCGCGGTGAACGTCCTCTCCACTTTGGTTCCTTCCTACTTGTTCTTCCTGCTTGGCTCGTATTGTTTGATGGCCCATTGCCAGTGCTATCCGGTTCTTTCCGTTTGGAGCTCCTTCCAATGCCTTGTACATCATAGTTTTTACAGCTGTGTCATATTGTGTTGCACACCACAAGGAACACGTCTTTGTAGCAAAAACTTGGACAAATGGGATCGTGTGCCACTTTTGTTTTGCCTCAAACATGACTATCATTTTGGCCTCCGAAGCTGACTTAACCAAGTCGTCGCATGGGTTTGAGTCGGACCAGTGCGATGGTTTTGAAAAGCAGCATTCATGCGGTGTGTTGTTTAGATTTCTCAAGCTGTGCCCCATTGAGTGCTAAGGGCAGCAAGAAGAACAATGAACCTGAGAAAAGCTATGGTGCGGCCACCAACTCTCGGAGCAGTCATGGTCATGGCGTGACTTGATTCAGACTGGACCGACCAAGCACCGTTGTATCCTAAACATGTGCAATTGTCATCAATTGTCCAGAAAGGACTCCATCCCACTCCATGACTCTTTGATGGCCTTTGGGGATAGATGTTTGATGATGTTTGGGAAAACTGCTTGACAACAGCTGTTGAAGTAAAGACTAGTAGTTTTGAGTCCTCGTAGGTTGAACTTTGTGTTCAGGACTGAACATCAGATCCCGAGGAGCAAGAACTTTCCGGTGCCCGGTTGATCCCAGTTATAGATCAATAGTTCAAAAAGTACATGACTTCATGTTGTATGATCCACTTTGGAAATCCTGAGCAATTAGGTTTGTGTGTAGAGGTCGATGGCGGTTCTTTTTGCTGTTGGGGCCCATTGCCGAGGCAAGTGGCACCAACGACAGGACACAGCTTATTCAACAAGTGTTCACTGCTTTGAACCGAAGTCGCACTGGCTACCTCAATGCTGATGAACTACGGCCCTTTGCCAACCAGACTGGTGACTCACCTTGATTTCAGTGAGTACAGTCACCGAGAAAATACTATAGAATATAGATGTAGTTGTGTGCAATTCCACGATTTTCCCATTTCCCTATTCCTTTGGGACCTTTGGCTTGCATTCCTGGCGCGCATACTGAAAAGGCCCATCCTGACAATGCCACCAAAGGCAGCAAACAGTGAAGCCGAACGTGGGGAATCCTGTCAACATTTGTGAACCTCGAATGGAATGTCAGAACTGAACAAAGGGAGAGACCTTTGCGGATCGACACGATGTGACTATGACCCTTTTCTCGATTTCTGATCGTCCTGATTTGATCTGGTACGAGTGTAAGCCTTTCAAAGAGGATACATGACACACAAGACACATAAGTGGCGAAACCTCGTGGAACACTTCGAGGTTTCGAGGGCACAGATCCAGAATGGCAAGCAGAATTCCACTTGCTCCAGAAAGAGTGTGGCTAAGCCGCAAGCAGGCAAATAAGTAATCAAAGCACAAGCACAGATTGACCGGCAGAACCTCGTGACATTTGTTTTGTGACAAAAACTGGTCCTGTGTTTGAGGAGGGGGTGTAATTGCATTGGCTAAGGTGGTTCCGGCCCAGGGATTTCATTGTACCACTTTCGGCGTTTGGCCAACGTGACTTGGAAAGAAGAAACATGAAAGGACGAGAACCCATGTACCAAGAGAGTTGCGAGAAATGCATAAACATGCAATCTATTCAATGTGTGGACATGCCAAAGTCCACGGCTTCAAACACTTCCAGCAACTTCAGGGGCACTGGTCAGGCCATGAGTCTTGGAAAAGGGTCCCTTTTGCTTTTGTTGAAACCTCACAGGGTTGCAAACGATCTGCAGATGCCAATAACAGCCACATTTGTAGCAGTGTAGCCTACATGAGCGCACTCCCTTGCGGCCCTTGCGCGCAGAAGATCTTTCCACGATACGGGAGAGGAACTTCGGATAGCATGCCATGGGCAGAAGTTTAACGACTCCTCTTCAGAATGCACTCGGTGCCCTGTCCAATTCTAGACTATGACTAGGCACTCTGCTTCCTGCCTGTTCCAGACATGTTGTGATTCTAGTCATGATGAGATTTTACGCACGTGAAGCCCTTGACAAGTTCAACGAGTCTCAAGCGGTTTTGGAGGTAAAAGAAAGGCATAGCATGGAGCTTTTCTCCTCCCTCCGCGGCCCATGAACTGAAAAACCTCAAACCTGAGCATGAAGAACTTCTCGAAGACGGGGTGGGGGTAGTCTTCGTATGTTTTAGTGACTTTAGTGACCCCTAAGATTGGGAACATGAGTTGATTGAAAGGCAGTAGAAATAGGATCTACAGGCATAGTTTGTACAAAGGCCCCACCAAGTGCCCCATCGGTTTTGTGTTGACGCCGAAAATGTGTAGCCAGAATCAGCAATGCGGCGGACTGGTTTGTGTCCTTGTGCAGGGCCCCTTTAGTGTTGTTTGCGGCATTCACAGGTCAAAGCAAATGCTTCAGCAGCATCAGCACCGAAATGCACGACTTGCACACTCAAACATCCATGATAATGTGTTGACACTGGCAACAGTGTCATGGAAGGGACAGAACAAGCCTTTGTGTGTGTGTGTTAGTGTGTGCTGTGAGGTTTTTGTTGCGGCTCGTTCTTCATTCAACGGATTGCAACAGCAAACCCGCATGTATAAACAGTCCGGTGACATGCCTGCACTTGTACTGCCTAAGGGTCTTCAGCAAACCTTCTTTATTTCATTGGTTGCCAGGGTCATCCTTGGGCTCATCTTACATTTGAACCTTTTTTGTGTGTAATAAATATATGGATATATATATATATTACTTATTCTTAATTCTTCATAGTTTTCAAGTCTGCAACTCCGCTCAAGGACTCCTCCAACGATGGTTGCTACTGCTCGGATGAGGGGCTCAGAACATTGCTGCAGTCCATGTGGCAAGGGTCGGCTAGAAGCTTGGCTTGCACCATAACATATGAGCAACAGAGGTGGTGTGCCATATTTCAGGTCTCGTGCCAAATGTTGGCAGGTGCTCTGATTGAAAAAGTGTTGAAATTCTGCGGCCTATGCAAAATTCAGGAAAGACCTGGAGAAAGTCGGAAGACCTGCGGAATACCAAGTTGGCCTAAGAAATGTTTCTTCTGACAACTTTTGGCAGGTGTGCTTACCTAAAGGTTCTGAAGGAATCCGTTTGTTGCTCCATGCTTCAGTGTCGTCGGTGCCCAGTTTCCGCAGAAGTGGGGGGGGTCATGAGTCAGCGACCCTGGAGTTTGTGACAGAAAAGGGGCCAAAGAAGCAAAAGCGATCTGAGCAAATGCAAGTGCGCAAGTTTGAGGAACAATTTTGCATATATACGATTTTAGTATTGAGATACATAATAAGCTAAGCCCGTAGAGTTCTGGTGAGTCGGAGCAGGAACTGCTCGGGAGCGGAACATTGGGCTTTGTAGAACAGGGGCCGGAACTATGCTGATCAGATAGCCTTTGAACCACATTGTTCAACAAATCGTTGGAGCCATCCCCACCCCAGCATTTTGAAAGATGCTCCTGTTGTAGTTTTGCTGCAGGCTTCTCAGCGCCCATGGCAACGCGGGAGCCTCGCCAGGAGCCAGCCATTTGGCTTTCAGGAAGAATCGAGGGAGCTAGGATGAACCTTTGAGGTCAGGCGGCTATCATATCATTCAACCAGTCATGTATTGGTGCTAACAAATTCAAGAGACAAGAGTAGATCTGGCTTTGGCAGCTCTTGACCCAGCCAGGCGGTCGCCCAGGCGAGCGGTGCAGATGAAAGAACGCAGCTTATTCAACAAGTGTTCACTGGGTTGAACCAAAGTCGCACTGGCTACCTCAATGCGGATGAGATGCGGCCTTTTGCGAACCAGACTGGTGACTCAGCTTCTATCGAATCCAATTGATGTTTGGGGATTGTTTGGAGTTTCACAGGTGCCAATCGGTGAACTCGGCCGGACCAAGCACCCAACATCAAATATTAATCACGTGGTATCATGGCACAGGGGTGCCCAATGGGTCAGGAACCTTTCCTTCACCCACATATCATACGTGATTTGATTGTTAGTTGCTGAATGTTCAGTAAACTATATACTATGTACAAAGGAGACAGGGTCTAAACCTGGACAAGATTCTATGACACGTTCCATCCATTTTCACTCTTGACCGCGTGTTGTACTAGGCGGGAGCCGGGAATTAATGGAGCTTGCAGACTCAGTGTGTGGAGTGCTGAGGGTGGCAGCCTCAATAGAAAGCATACAATGCTGCAGTCGAACAAAGCGAATGAGGTTTTCAGGGCACAGATGCAGAGTGGCGAACAGAATTTAATTTGCTCCGGCAAGAGTGTGGCAAAGCTGCAATAGAGTTTGCGTGCCGTGCTGACTGGCCAATCAAACTTCTGGTTGGAACCATGTAAGTAAACAAATTGGGCCACCTGGTGCAGGATAGTTTCCTTCAACAGGAGTAGTTTGCGAATACACCAGCCGAGGTGGCTCTGGCCAGGGGGTCTCCATGTACGACTTTCAGCGCTTGGCCAATGAGACTTGGAAAGACGAACTGAGTGGCTGGACCGGCACCTCTATTCTACTCAAAGTTTGATCCCCCCGAAGGAGAATGGTGTTTTTTGTTTTTTGTTCGATGTTTTTCGTTTGAACGTGCGACGGGACAAAGATTTCGTGGCCCCGCCTGCCCTTCCAAAAGCACTTCAGCTGGCTCCTTGAAGAAGCAAAGGTGAGGAAGAAGGTGAGTGCTTTCCAATGGTCCACTTTGACAATGCAAGCCTTCTTCGGAAAGGGCTCGATCAGCAGAGCTGTGGTGCACAAAGAGCAATCAATGTCAAAGTATGGTAGCATGGGAGCACTGCTGAAAATGTTGCATCAGAGGCACAGGATGTGTTTCTGGTGTCCAGTCACCCCCGGCGCAGACACCACAAACGTTACCCTGACTTTCCTCGCCATGAAGTTCATTGAACATTGATATGCATCGATGTACATAGTTGATTCTATATGTGAGATTAAACATGATTAAACTACCCTTTGTTCATATGTTTCCATACTTTTGCCATTGGTCAATGTTCCAAACTCCGTCTCCTTCAGGACTCCTCGGATGATGGTTGCTACTGTTCTGACGAGGAACTCCGCGCATTGATGTGGTCAATGCAGGGAGGAGGGTCGTCCAGAAGCTTGGTTTGAATCATGACCAGCAGAGCACAGATGTATATAGAGGTGGTTTTATACTGAGAAGATAGCTCAGATGGCGTGAAGAACAAGATGCTCGTAAGTGATGATGAGCCTAAACCCCTTCTATCATGCCGACTGACGTGAAGGTTGAATATATATATATATAGAGAGAGAGAGAGATGTATATACACTGTAACAGGCTAGTTCAGACAAGCTAGAAAAAGGGACGCATCTACCTCTTGTGACTGCACAACAAAAACGACTTTGCGGATTTGTTGTTTTGTGATGTTTGCCTTTTGCCCAATTGAATCTTGGTCGTATCATTGGCGGAGAGCGGTGCAGGGCATGGAAGTTCCACAACCTTCTGCCAGCTCACACGAGCTCTTGAGCCGCAACCGCCGCTGATTCTTCCAATCTCAGGCTCCGCCTTTAGGCCACCGCCAGGATTGGCTCATCCTGAGAGCTGCAGCTGAGGGCCTTTTTGTACAGTTAGGATTAGGTCCCCTGGAAGATGCTGAGCTTGAACGATGGTCAAGCCATTTTTGGTTCACACTGCCCAGGAAGTGGTCTAAAGGATGCCAACCAAGATGCTTTAGCAGTAGCCTGGGCCCAGTAGCTTTTTGCAGGCCCAGGTTCACAACCCAGGTGATTCTTGGGGTCAGCACAGTTGCACCATTGTAGCGTATTATAGCCATGGTCATGATGATTACCTTCCTACATGTTAAAAGATCGTGTTCAAGTCCAGCATGTCAGTGGGGCGCAGTCGGCCAGCTTCATGTCATTCTGAAGCCGTAGATCAGGGGTCCCGGCTCGGGACTGGCAGCTCGACGGACTGACAGGCGAAGTCGCTTTTCGATGATTGAATGCCAAGTCCAGATGCCATGGCCTGTCAAAGGGATGCAGCTTTTTGAAATGGGATAACCCCCAACCAAGATCCTGCTTGCTCTTTCCGTAAGCTAACAGTTTCTCGAGGACCTGTTGCTTTGAGGCATTGCACATTGAGTGTCAGACATGTTGAAGTTTGGATTTGGCCGTGTACACGCGGACTTCGGCATGACCAGGACAGTATCGTTTCACTTCGTGCACAGACATCTCTCAATCATCCAGAAAAGTTGGGTGAGGATTGGATACAGTTGTTGTATGTTTGTTTCTATTGCGCGTGCGTGTGAATTGAACTGACCAGAAGCGACTATCTTTTTATACAATTACATGTTTCTTAGGTGCAACTTGTGTTGTAGGGATGATCTCTCCATGGCCATAGTCTTGAAGGAAGCGAGGAGGTTGTTTTGCAAGTTTGTCCTTCGACTTCTATTTGCGTGTGTTTTGGTATGTGGGTAGCCATCCCCGATAGGGTGTAGAAGGTCCGAGTGCCAGACAGGAAGACATATGAAGAGATGCAAAGATGATTGGAGATGTGTTGCGATTTGTCCAAATGCATTGATAGGGGTCGGAGGTGCTCCAAGACATCGTGGCAGCGATTTGTTGGTGATTTTTGGACCTGGTGTTTTGTTGTGGTGAAATGTGGTGTGGTGATTGGCAAGTACATGCAGGAACTTGCAGTGCTCATAGATTCCTGCTTTATATAAACCGTGTTTTCTGCCATATGTTGTAATTTTTGGTGAGCTAAGCTCAGCGAGCTACTTGGTTGGTCCGTTTTGTAGTCATCGATGGTGCCTTGCGCTTTTCGCTCCGGGCTTGGAGTGCCAAGCAAAGCCCAACACATTTGGGGTGCATTCGTGACATACCTGACCAGGCCGACCGACGTAAACTCTATATATCTCTATATATTATATATTATATACTGCACTGTAATTATATAATCTGAACGCCTATGTTACAAGATATTAGTTGTGAACATATGAAACCGTGCCGGAAATCGTCCCAGGGGCACTTCAAATAGAAGTATAAATTTTAAACAAGTGATTCCAGGCAAACTTTCAAATAGAAGGTATGCATCGGCAATCCACGGCTGCCCGCCCAATCTTGGATCAAGTGAAATGGCGGCGGGCATGGGAGACCTCACCTTCCAGGCACACTTTGCCTTTGTTTTGCGGGGCAGGCAGGTGGGACGCCAATCAAGAAGCTACACACGGGACTGGTAAACACGGGACAAGAGGAACAGTGCAGCTGTGTTACACATGAACTGACTTGTTCTCGAGCTTCTTCTTTTTGAACGTGCAGAGGTGCAGCTTTGCTGCACATGAAGCGAATTGTTTCTCGAGCTTCTTCTGTTCTGAAAGCGCCAAGGCAAGCCTCTGTAGCGGTCAATCAACCGCAAGACTGTGTGCACAGGCGGGGCCGCCTCATCGGCGGAAAAGCTACCCAAATTGAAGGCGGAGAGAAGGACCAGCTGAGCTGTTTCCCCCTTTTCCGGCACATGTTGATTGATATGCGTCTTGAGTCTTGTATTTCAAGCCAGGCTAGGGAAACACAATGTCTTTGTCACTTATTCTTATTGTGCTTCCACCAAGGCTGTAGCAACAAGTTTCCTAATTGAAGCCTGTGTAGAATGCTTAATGTGACAAGAGAGAGACGCACCAGTAGATGCACCTGGCCTTTTTTTGCGGGCCAGGCAGATGTGGCGCCACTCAAGAAACAAAACACGGGAGACGAGCAACAGTGCAGCCTTCTTACACATGTCTATTCCTAAAGTTAATTTCTTATGCCAGTGAAAACCTTGTGAGACGGAGTGTGCTTGCTGCTTCAAGGCAGGGGTGGCCAATGACTATTTCTTGATAGCACCAAGTCCTGTTTGGAGAACAGTATATATATATATATGTTAGTGCCTATTTATATGTGTAACTCGTGATTTGGTGTGCTTGCCAGGCCGACCAGAAGCCAGCCGAGAAGCAAAAGGACAAGTTGAAGGACAAGGTACAGCATGCGGAGAAGAACCCACCAACGGCACAGCTACAGCCTTGCTCATCATGCACTCGCTTCAAGTGGATTTCTTCGAAATGAAATGGCAAAGGTGGACCACACACTAACAAGACTGTGTGCACGCATTCCTTTTCCACAAAAGCTCAAAATGAGCATTAACCTCATTAGAGGAACCTGGAACTCACCAAAGAGCGTGGTCGGACATCGGAAAAACAAAAGCAGCTACCTGACCATGTCCTTGCTTTCTTCCTTTTACATGATTTTTTGTATTAGAAGTTTTTCTTCTTGTGTGTCTAATTCAATAATGGCTCAGCGATGCAACACTATCTTCTAGTTGAAACTTGTGCTGAGGTTGCTGAAACTTGGGGCTCAATCCAGAATGTTGAAAGGAGATGATAATGATATTTGCTTCCCTTTCGTACAGCTGTTTGATTTGCAAGACCCCAGGATGATGATTTGGCATCGCTCAAGTCAGCTGCCAGCTCTGCAGCTGAAGGGCCACAATTTGTGATCTACCATTCGCAAGATGAGACTGGAGTGGCAGTCCAACACTTGCTTCGAACGAGTTCGTTTTCAACTGCCAACAAGGCTGTGGCCCTGCCACCGAACCCTTCTAATGACTATGCGATCAAGCTGGACAGGAACGCTGGTGAATATTACGTTGCAAGCCAGTCTTGCAAGTTGGCCCTGTGGGTTTCTTAGCTGCAGACAATGACAAGCAAAACTACTCACAACTTCTGCAAATCGGTCCTGCCTTTAACTTGCGGTGCTTCGCAGCTGCTCCAAACTAAGTGCGATGATCTCGTTGCAGCTCCAGTAGCAGAGCCTCCTGCAAAGCAAGCGCGTGCCAGTGAGGGAGATGAGGCGGTGGATAGTCAAGAGACTGAGGCTATGTCCCGCCTCAATCTACTTGAGACTGAGGTTGGTCCAAGCTGAAGGCCCAACAGATTGAGGATGCTGAGTTGTTCTTCGTGGGATCAGCAAGCCACAGGGCTTGGGTTTGTGCATCTTGAAGCATGTACTTCACCAGGATGGCCAAGAGGCTCAAGAAGCGATGAACTTCATCTATGAGGACGCGAAGTGTGTCGAGAAGGGGCTGCATGGACTGAGCAGCGGAGCACGTCCTGAAGAAACAGAGGCCTAGTTGATACACTGTGCTCAAACTCAACTGAATCCAAGTCAGTCTTTCAACTTCAACATTGGCATAGAACTCCGTGTCGGTTTTCTATGCGCAGGGTCTGGAGAATGCTTTCATGCACCTAAGGGTGCGGTGCAGGAGTGGTGTGACTCATGTAGGCTTGTTGTGACCAAGGTGTGAAAGAAAGCTGGTTGAAACTAACATGGAACGTGGAATGTGGCCAATGTTTGGTCAAACTGTCCGGCAGAAGCTTTGGTCCCACGTTGGAATTCGGCTGCATTGTACCATTTTTGGTAAGCGGTTGGATCAGCGCGAAGGACTCACTGGAGGACTTGATTGGTTACACATCCGACCATATCTCTCAAGATTCGCGCTCATCAAGCCAAACAACTGCAGAGCGAGTATTCTTCACCAACGTGAACTCGAAACGGCTGCAGTCAGCTTTCATCGAGTTGCAGCAAGGAGACTACAAGGCGGCTGCAAAGGCAAATCGCCAGGTGTTCGGAGAGAAAGTGTCTATCACATCAGCTGTGGCGCAGCAAATGAAGGAAGCTTGCCAGACAGGCCAGCATTTCTGTTTCAGAGGTAGTAAGTCAGCCATCATTCGATTGGTAGTTTGCGAAATGAAACAATTGCATTCAGGTTTATGTTGCTATGACATGCGACAGGACAGGCAGCGCCAACTAACACATCTGCGAAGCCCGCTGGTCAGCTTGCTGGGATGAGAAGCGTTGCTTCCATGGTGGCGCTGAGGCTAACAGCGCCAGGAGTTTAAAGGCATCCTCGACCTTTGGGCAGGCGCTCTGTTGGAAGAAGGCCTTGTCTTCCAGAATCTGGATTCCAATGAAGTGTTCCTCTCATTGGGCTTCGTGCGCGCAGTGTTTCTTCTTTGGCGCCTGCCAAAGTGTCCGGGCCATGGACGACTTACTAGAGACAAAACCGTTCTGATGTATGAGACAGCGTTTGCTGAGTAGGGTCTTTCTGTTATAGGTGACAGGGAGCAACCTTTCGAAACCGATGACGGGGTCTTCATGCTTTCTCTGCGAGTCTATTAAGCAGTCTCCAGACAGATTATGCTTTGTCGCAGTTTCTTCATTGGCAACACATTGCAACATCACTTGACACTGCCGGCGCAGAAGAAGATTGGATTGGGGTTCCTGTCGGGGTTTGTGCCTTTGCTGGCCAAGTCAAAACATTAGTTGTCATGGAAGGGCCGGGTTTTCTTGTCAGTCGTTGGTCCTGTATGCGTTTGCGTTCGGCAGTGTAACTCAGTAAGGCATTCCAGCATATCGAAGCGATATGCGACAGAGGAATTCTATTCAAACAGTGTGGGGAGAAGATGTCACTGACGGCTCACTGGCTGAAGCACGGGAGCTTGACTCCACACATGAGTAGCAAGGTCAATATGCGGGTCTTACACTGGAAGGTGAAGGTTGCAAGATTCGAGGAAAAGCGATTGATGTTTCGAATCAAGTTGAACCTTGACTTGGTCTGCAGCGTGTTTGCTTGGAATGAGCAACGCCACATGCGAAGAAAACAATTCCACGCTCACGCGCATGACTAGTAGAGTACTAGCTACGGATGGCTCTCATCACATTCAATTTTCCTTCTGATACGCCTGATGAACATCTGCGGCTACTTACCCGGTTGCTTGCGACCAGACACCGCAACTTCAGGAAGCCCTGCAACATCTTCAGCAGGAAGATCCCTCCAATGCCAGGCAGTGAAAAAATTTGCGCGAGATGTTGGCTGATCAGCAACGAGAGGAACTAATCAAGAGCCGCCTGTGCAACCCAAAGGGGGGCACAGGAGTTTCAAACACCCGCATGCTTGAAGGCTTTGAGGCCACAACCAGTAGAAGGAGGCTTTGTATATATTGACGTTTCAAGTCCCAACTGACGCTTCCCAGGGCTACTACCCTCGAAAATTGACGCGACTCCAGAGCAGGAAGGAAAAGAACAAACGATGCAAAAGACTCTGTTCAATCAGCCGTGCTTTTGGTGGAAATTGGAGCCAGCTTCAAGCTTTGACCCAAGTGGTCAACTATTTGTGGCTGCGCCACAAGAAAGCTGGTTTTGACCTGGCCTTACTTGATTGAAACACAGACCCTGAAGTATCCAGTCTTATGTGTTGGATTTCCTGGTGAGTTCTTGTTTGGGGGCAGAAAGAAACTTTTTTGCCGATGACCATGTGTGCATTCAGGATGACACAGCCAATGTGGGACCTGATCAAATTGCAGCAACCTTGGACAAGGCAAGCCAAGTCCTTGGTGGCTTTGTGGAGATGATCGCCTGTATCAGGTGATGACCCAGACCTCCCTGGTCCTGCATCTGCCTCAGGAACATTGCCAGCTCAGAAAGGCAAGCCAGTGAAGAAATTTGAGACATTGGCGAAGCCTGCTGCCAAGAAGGTTCCCAATCCTCCTGGCAGGAAGGGGCGTGACTGGACAGATCCTTCCAATGATGAGCAGCGGGCAAACAAGGCAGAAAAGAAAGAGTCCAAAAAAGAAAGAAAGATGAGGCAGAGAAACACAAAAAGGGCAACAAAAAGAAAAGACTTGAGATGATGAACTCAAATGTTTCACAGCGCCATTACAGCGCCATTGACCTCTGAGAATGGCATTGAAGTGCTTTGCCGTCTAAAATAGTGTGTGATGCTGGGGGGGGGGGAGAGGTATACATGGCGTCTATATTATGTGAGCATACGGTGTGTTTGTTTTTTCATAGGCGACAATACCTTGAACATGCCAATATGCTTTTTGATATTCCACTTTAGGGTACTCTTGCTTGGGTACGTGACATGGGCTCTTGAATTTCAAACCTGTGCAAACAAGACCAATCGGTTACATTCACATTAGATTTGGCAATTGGACAGTGGACAGGCCACTCCATAGACATGCCCTGCAATATCTTCTTTTTGCACCTGCCTCTACTTTATAGATAGGGGAATGCGATGGCCTGCAACCTAGTAGCGATGGCCACCTAGTAGCGATGGCCTCCAACCTACCAGCGATGGCCTCCAACCCACTTTGTAGCGGTTATTGAAATGTTGAAGCCATGAACTTCCTTTTGAAACCTGCGCGAACAAGACCAATCGGTTACATTCAGATTAGATTTGGCAAGTGGACAGTGGACACACCACTCCATAGCCATGTCCTGCAATATCATCTAATTAAGCTTGCCTCTACTTCACAAATACAGGAATGCGATGGCCTCTAACTTGGTTTAAGCTAGTAGCGATGGCCTAAACCTACTAGCGATGGCCTCCAACAAGGTACATAGTCAGTCCATTGGCCTTCAAGAGAGGCTTGCAGAATATTTCAATTTTGTAGAAAGCCGGCAGACGATGTTGCCGTTGCAGAGAGAAAATCTTTTTCTAGCAAGATTCAGCGCAGATAAAACAAATATCTGAGCGCATGTATCTTTTGTCATTTGTCGCCGAGGCTGGAACTCTTGCGTGAAGGGTGTTTCACCTTCTGGGTTAGAGCCAAGGTGAGACAGGAAAAGGAACCCACCTGGCGGCGCCGTTCTTCTGTTTGAAACCGCAATTTTTTGGCATCGGACGGTGTCGACCCTTCCTGTCTATCATGGTCCTTTCTTCTACTTGAAACCTCACTTAGCTCCCTGACTAAACTGTCGCCTTCTAAGTTTTTCGCTTCTTCTATCTTAGCTGTCCGTAGTATATATGCATATGGCATTCAACTTGCTGGCAACTCAGAATTTAGCAAAAGACTAAAATCAAAAGGCCAAGCATGTCCAGGTTTGTTTGCGCCGGCATTCATGAATCCACACATATACCTTTTTGTATGTAGACATGCCCATGTAATTGCACACTTTCACTGTGACCTTCACCTACTGTAAAAGAGAAATATTTGAGAAGGGGAAATCGCACCCGAAGCAAACCCAATGGAAACTGACCAGGTTTCCTGTTTATAGCGGGGCGTTTCCTTACGTCCAGGAACCTACAAGCCCGTGACTCACAATGCCACAGTACATTTGGGACCGCTGGTAGCGATAGGTTCCCGATAGAAGAGTTGCCCTGTTTATTCGAGGCGGCGGCAAAGCATCGCCTCCTCCTGGCCCGGTTCCTTGGGGAACCGAAACGATTTTTTTCGATGATGCGCTCATATACCCTCCATCCGAATCCATGCGTTGTTTTTTCCCAGAGTTTTATTTGTTTTTTTCGGTTTCCCTGTGGCCTGTGGCCACACTGAAAAATGATCTTCTCCCATGAAACGCTGGTGTTTGGAGCGGTCAGCCAGCGGCCAGGTTTTAACGACCATAGGCTACAGGCTACGTGAGAAATCAACCGTGAACATTTCTGTTTTAAAAGCTGACTGATTGCCTACGCAGCTACTAGCATGTTTGCGGAGAGTGATTGAGCGCATGCTGTACTGCAAAGTTTTGGCGTCATGAAAACATGAAATCCATGGTTCAAACGCTGCACGTGTGACTGTGCATATGTGACACATGTACAGTTTGTGCCGCCGGTTGGTGTTCTAAATCTGTCCTGCTGGCTTAGTTGACCTTTCAATTGTTGCACAGATAAAGGGCGAAAATGTAAAGATTCTCCGTGGCCCCACTGTTTGTGTGCTCGAATTGGTCCCTGTGTGGAACTACTCTCCACGCAAAAGCACATTCAGCATAGTTCAACCGGCTGTTGCTTGGACCCGCCCGCTATACACCAGGTTGCCTCCACATCAGAAAACCAAGTTTCCTCAATCATACGTATCAGGATGTTGGAGATCGAGGAGGCAGGCTGGTGCTGAGGGAATATTTTGCGGGATGAATGGTTTTGACTCCTGGTTTCTACCTTCAACTTGATCTCAATGCGAAGTCATGGCAGCTCTCTCAAAACCAAATTCTTACATGCAATCAAATGAAAAAGACTTGCAGTAATTATACTCGTGACATCTCGCGGCATTTGCACGCAAAGACACGACACACATGATGCTCTACAGGGAGGGGAACTTTCCCCGCACTGTTTCAAGTTGGGTTCCATGTGATATGATATGGACACAGGTTGTCTCGCTGTTGGGATGTCCACAGCCATGTTTGCCCAGTTCGCCTTCGAAACTCCGGCATGCCTGCTTTCCTGCCTTGTACGGCTTTTGCTTGTTGTGTCCTGGCGTGTTGAAGATCAGCTGTGATAGGCACATGCTGTATAAAGCCCTACGTTAGCAACCGAACTGGAGATACACCTAACTCAAGGCCTCGATAAGATCCCTTGATCCAGACTGACCGGAATGACAAGGTTTGTACATAGTGAGCAGCGGCGGTGAAGTTGACATGATACGACCTCAGGCGATCGCCGCATCATCGACGAAAACTTTTGGATTGATATCCTTCAGGAGCTGTTCATGTCGCTGGATTAGACACATTTAGAAACTTAGGAACACATTGAACAATGCCATTTGAGATGAACACATTCAACAATGCCATTTGAGATCACCTAAGATCACCTAAGCCCTCAATCAGCATGACTCATCGCGGCACTTATGGTGCAGGCAACCAGTGAAGTGTTGGGGGTCTGTAAATAGAGGCGTTTTTGTCACATGAAGCCTTGGCCCCTTGGAGAAATCTGGCAGATGGAGCTGCGTAAGTAAGCACTGTACCTGACCCAAGGTTCAGCCATGTTGAGGTATGTTGAGTGTTGAGGGGTGCTGGCATGTGCAGATACAGCTGCCACCCCTCCTGGTCCTTTATCAGTGCAGACGCTTCAGCCTGCCAGACGGAAGGAGATCGAGTCAGACCCGCAGGAAAGCTACAATCTCCGCTGGAATGCCAGTTGCATGCAGGTCAGGGCTGCAACTTACGGGCCTGTTGAAGGGGAGGACTGGCTGGTCTCGAATGGGCGGCCAGCCTTGTATTGGCATCGTTTTGGGCATGATGCCAGCCTGACATTGGATCATCAAGTGCTTGCTTAAAGATCTCACAGCCAGGCCTCCCCGACGCTTTGGCATTGACACCTGAAGGTAGCAGCTTGCCTGTAGGCTGTAGGCCTTCAATGAGTCACCCTTACAGCTACAGTTTGCATCACACTCAATGGGCATCAAACCAACCACATGCTTCATTGATGGGCTTGATTGGCCTCCCGTCGGTTCCAAGCGGACGGAGTGGCAGGAGAGGCAAGGGTCCAGAGCAATGAAGAACCTCAACAATTTGGTGGCCTCCTCAGTTGCATTTCTCATCAAGAGCCTTTCTAAAAGATTCTACTGTAACATTCTTAAGACGCTCTATATAGTCCTTTGCTTGAACAGCGAGCCCAGCGAGCGGGTCTTTCACTCGAAGTGTTTGTCGGTCTTTGTTGAACGACAACACCAGAGGTGGAGCAGTGCAGCGGATTGCAGCGGTAATTTCTGGACGTCAAGGGGAAAAACAGTTGTACGTGAGCTTGTTTGAAAGGCCTCCACGTTCTTTAGTTTAATGGGGCTACTATATAATGAGCACTAATGGGCTACTACTATTCGTATTTAGTTGAAAACGGCTTCAAAAAGAACAAAGAGACAAGCTAGTAATTGCAGGGCACCGAGAGCAACAGCTCATAACTCATAACGGTTCCATCGTTCAGCGGGGGTCAGCTAGTCATTTGGCAATTGACCATCCTGGCGATGGCATCCTGAGCCGCCAGGTCAAGGATGTCCTGATCCGTTGGAGTCTTCAGCAGGCTCGCGAGTTGCTTTGGGTATTTGGGGTCCAGCTGGCCAAAAAAGATGCGTAGTAACTCGCCATCGCCGCTACCACCTTGCTCAACACCAAGCTTAAGTTTCCCACGTGAGAAGCCAGAAAGAGAACTCCGGTTGATTGCATTGGACAAAATTGAGTATGAACCTCCGAAGAGAGGTGCTGGGAGGAATTGGACGGTGAGGAGGATGCCCAGAGGGGCCACCCAAAAGGTTCTTACTTGGCATAAGGCAATGTAAGCAGTGCACGGCAGCGCATTGCCGTTTCACGGCCTAGGTGACATCTGCTGGCGTCGCCACAGCTGGGCCCTCCTGTTTTGAAGAGCTGCGAGCTGGGAAAGAAGAAACATCCAAAAGAAGTTTGTTATATTTTGCTATGACCTTTCTCATGTTGACTGCCTTGCCTTTGGTACTTTTGCCCTGCGCAACACCTTGGCCAAGAGATCCGTTTGGTCGTGTCAAGATTCTTCAGGTCAATCATGTTCGGTGACTACTTAACTTGGATCAATGCAACTTTTGCGGGAGGAAACCTTTTAGCTTTGTTTTCCCAGATAGCTGGACGCTACAGGGGGTCTTCTCAATGATTAGGTCAGGTGGCGTGGCTGATCGGCGTTTTGGTCCACCGCTACCGGTGCTGCCTCGTCTTCCCACTTGCCCACTGTGATCAGCGTTTTGTTTGCCGCTGCCCTGTCTCCTCACTTCTCTCCCCATTCATTTGTCTCCTTACATGTTTGCCCACCTACGTGCCCTGCTGTGATGGGCATTTTGTTTGCCGCTGCTGTACTTGTCCCCCCAGTTGTCTCCTCACTTGTCTCCCCACTTGTCAGCCTGCGTGATCTGCGTATTGTTTGCTGCTGCTGCTGCTGCTGCCGCCTTGTCTCCCCAAGTGTCTTCACATTTCTCGAAGTTAGTTGCTATCTGGTGTCAATAATATATATGTGTCCACTGTGTGAGGGGAACGATCAGAGGCCAGACTCCAGACATCGCAGGGACCGCCCTCGCAGCTTTTGTAGTACAGTAATAAGATGTAATAAGGAGTTGTCAGCCACTCAAATTGCAGCTTATATAGGCATTGGCCTAGCTTGTGATAGGTGAATCCTAGAGACCCCAAAAAAGAACGTCGACATAACTTATTTATATAGGTGGATTGGATTGGATTGGCCGAGTTTCCTTGTGCAACCTTTAGCATTCAGGTCATTGAACCCGAGAGGGCACAGCAGACCAACTAAACGAACAGGTTGCTTGAGGATGGAAAATCGGACCATCCAACCAATCACAAGCTTCTACCACTTTCTGCGCGTAAAAGATGCAAAGCCTGAAATTTCCGTATGCTTCAGGCACGTCCAGCGACCCTGATATTTTTCCATCCGCTTGGTTCTCATTGCTCCTCCAGGTGCTCCCCTGTCTTGGAGTAGCCCTTTGAGCTTCCAAATTCCCCCCAGGTGGAGGTTCTAGATGTTTGCAGCGGACGTGGGGGCGACCAAATGAAGTTCCTGCAGGCCCGTTTTTCTGTATCGGGCGCGTTGCCGGACTACAGGTTCGTTTCTAGAGGACGACAAGACCAGCCGAAAAAGAAATAAAGGAAGAAAAAACACATGATAATTCTGGATTGTGTTTGTTTGCTCGGTTTGTTTGCTCCCTAAAAGAGGCACCTGATTTGATGGAGTTTGGAGGGTTTTTGCCGCACGGATCTTCCTGGTTCTTGATATTTTTTATGGTTCTTGCATACAATCTCGCAGTGTAATGGATCCGGCGCCTCACTGTTGGTCGTTTGCTACACCATTTGATGTGGATCGGTGAAGGAGCTCGGGCAGGGCACAGCTGGATTTAGCAACTGTCTCTAAATTGGCCCGCGGTGACCACGAGCACTCAATATAATTAAAGAGGTTTGAACTGCACAGCTCAAATTCAGGAGCTAAATGACGTGTTAAACGTGTGTGACATATGTGGAAATATTGTAATAATGAAAGTTGCTTTTGGGCAACTTGAAGCCGCCCATGCAGCATGCGGGTGGTGCCATACAAGACTAGATCTCCCCATAGCAAAGTCCGGAGGCTGCCTCCACTGTTGGGTCAAGGCAGGGCATCCAGGGTGGGTCGATGAATTAGGAGATGATGTCAGAGGTTCACATGTCAGCGTCCGCTGGAGATATATGGTGCACAAGCACTGCTGTTTCATAACCAGTAGTTTTGCGTTTTACCACCTAATTCCATGGATGTTGTCATTATGGGCCCACACACGCATGCCGGAAATGAAGATTCTCCATGGCCAGGTCCCAAAAAGTGAGTGTTAAACCAGTGATGAGGAATAGTATATGGAAAATACTTCCTATCCCGAGTTTTAGTTGTCCCTCACAAGCTGAGCATAGCCATTTCCACCGTCAGGCTTTGCTACAATGCTGTGGATATTGCAGAGGTGCAGCATGGCGTCGGCATGGAGTTTTCTGCAAGTACCCACAAGCTCCAACGGTCGAGCTTGGAAACGACAGCCGAAGTGGCAACACACACTGTGTAATCTCTCCCTGCTCCCTACATCTACACACCTACATGCATATGTGTGCAACTGATAAATCAGGTGGTTTTTGCACAGTGCCCCCCAAACAAGAATCAAAGACATCTTCTCACGCAGCCCCCCAACACGTCTCGCAGGCGCAGATCCTTGAGGCGCAGAAGCGCCTCCGCGGCTCGGCGGAGGAAGCGTATCCATTTGAGACGTGGTAGAATGAGTTGCTTAAAGACATCGGTTTTTGCATGTGTTTGCATCATGGGTGAAGACATGCCAGGAATATGTGTTTGATATCATATATCATGACCTCAAACTTCTGTGGAATAGTATAAATTCAATTAACTATTCCAAAGCTGAACCAGGTGTTGGAATATTTAGAACTACTGACGTTACACAGTTACACCCTGCCAGAATATTAAAAGAATATTCCTGAGCATATCGACGGTGGGCATATCCTAAGGGTCCCGCCATATTCTTAGAGGACCGACTGGTTGCTTAAGGATTTTGAGCCCGACAGCTCAAATACGACATGACCAAATAGTGGCTGGTGACTGAGGACAGCGCCTGCCGCTAGAGTGGCTAGAGAGCTGCCGCTTCTTTATTGGCAGGGGTGCCTGGCCGATTTAGGGGTGTTTGTGTCAATTGTAAGGCTGCTTAACCTATATATTTCGTGCCAAGATGTGGAGGTGTTTCGCACAAGTTTTGCAGTCATGTCATGCCTTCCTCCAATGTCCTCCAGCCCAACACGACCATCGGCCGTAAACAGTGATACTTGTTCCACCAGCCACCAGTTTTCCTCAGAAGGATTGGTTCAACCAAACAGCAGGTGACCACAATTGTTGCTTGATTGCAAGTTTATGTGATTTCATTGAACTTCGATGCGTGATGATGTGTAACTTTGTTTAACTATTCATACTCTTTTGGGGCACACCTTTGTACATTTTTTGGGGCATGCCACGGGCAACCAACTCGGGTATCTCGGAGCAGGAGATGTAACCTTGTTGGCACCAACCCTGCGGGTGCCTCAGCACATTGCTATTTGACCGAGAGAGCTGTGGAACAGCAAGCCTGGTTTGAGCGGATTGGGCGTGATCAACAGCAAAAAGGCTAAGGGGATTGGAAGAGGCATTCAACATCCACTGTTCCCGTTCCAGACACTTTTGAACTTGTGAAAACCGCTTGAGCAAATCCGAGGCCTGATGAACCCTTGCCGTGGCAGCACATCGTTTCGATTCAGTTTGCGCTGTAGCTTGTTTGCAATCAACATGACAGGTGCCTAACACAGGTGAGAAGCAATTGATGTGTTCTGGGCTGGGTCCCAGTGGGAGAAAGGCCAGAATTGAATCTTAGCCATCGTGGATGATGGCCACCAAAGAGTCCAAACAACGGAAGCATTTAGGAAACTTGCTGTGCTGGCGTTTGCCTTGTAAACACTTCCATGGGTGGATTGGTGAGGGTAAAGCTGGTGGCCAGTTATGTTGGCCTGTTCGATTCCTGCAGAAGACGGCAAATGCTCCTGAGGCATTATGCCTTCAAATCGAAAGCATCAGCAAGAAGTTTTCTGCACAATGCTACAGGCCATCAGCTTGGGTCGAGTTGAGCATGATATGAGCATGCGCATTCGCTCCGACATGCCCCGGTGTAGCATGTCTATGTTTTCCGTGCTTGGCTCCTAAATCGACAAAGCCTGGGGCCTAGACTATATACATCCCAACAAACCAGGAAAACGCATCATTGGCCATGATCCATGGAATGGTCACGGTATCCTCGTTGATTGTTGATTTATACTAAGTATATAATTAAAATAAAAAAAGATCCGCCGAAGGCCGCCTATGTGGCGGAGGGCTGTTGATCATCACAACTGCCGACATCCCAGCGGGTATTGGAGCAGAACTTGAAGGACTGGCTGTGCGGGGGATGGGTTCCTTCTTCGGGTTAGAATGCATATGATTGAATGGCATTTAGCCATTTGCGGCTGGATATGATGTTGACACGTTCCACTCAGAGTTGTGAATCAGCATGCCAGCATGCTGTGGTGTGCCATGCTTCGCTGAGGTAGACTCGTCCAAGATCGGAGAGTTTGCAAGGCAAGCAGCGGAGAAGCAGGAGAACATGGGACTTGACGGCAGGGTTTTGCAAAACTTTTGCAGTAAGGATGCCCACCAACTGGCAGGGCCTGCACGGCACGTTCCCCATTTTTGTGCCCCCTACATCTCCCAAAAGAAAAGTGGAGTGCTTAGTCAGCACGGAAGCCCGCACGGAAGCCAGTGCGTGGATGTTGCTCGGTGACCTGACGGCTTGCGCATGGGCGGAGCAGTGCGACGCTGTCTAACAAGACTAGGAATTCGTATTCAAGAATGAGCTGGCAAAGATCAGCTTCGATGAGGTTAGCCTACCCAGGTGCGACTTGGGTGTTGGGTTTCACTCGGCCAATTGATATCTTCTTGCCTGTTTCCTAGGACGTAATTAATCAGGTTAGCCGCTTAGCCGCGGATCCAAATAATGTCGAATTCATTCGAATTCACCAATCCAATTTGTGTGGCAGGTGTGGACCGTCAATGATCACACTGTTTTTTAAGTTTAAATACTTAGCCTGCAGGATTCTAAGGAGCGAAGAGTTGCAAAAGCCTACTCTCAAGAGCATGGAAGAAGGATCCCACCTTGTCCAACGTCAGCGGACCTGGCCAGGCTTGCTGCTGGCAAGCAAGAGTACTGGACTCAACCTGTAACAGATGTCCTGCCCCCGCCTATCTATCTCCCAACCTACAAGATGTTTGCCCAGAAAAGCCATAGCTGTAGCTTTGACTAGCTTTGTGTATTCTATTGTTTGTTTATATGCAGATTTGTACATATTTTGTTTGTACAGCAACATGGTTGCTGGGCCACCCGTGGCATGCCGGGTCACTGGAAGTCACGGTTTTACGGGCTGGGCGCGAAAGATTCCAAGGTTTGGCTTGGGCTATCGATTCGACCTCACAGGCAGCGGTAACACATTTGAGAACTCTTCATCCAGCCATTTTTTGCAGAACTGCCCGTTCGCGGTTAACTGTGCTATGGCAGATGCTCGCACACGCGCACTGTCCAACAATATCCACTAATAGATTAATAGTGCATATAATATGTGTATACTTATGTATATATGTGCGTGTACTGTAGGCATTATAATATAACGGGTATTCATGTTGGCCTGATGGTGGCTAAGTGCTGATGGTCAGGTGAGGGCATTGACTGCGAGGAATATGTCGTCCATGAGGCCGAGTCTGGGTAAAGTGAGCAAAATGCTGGAGTTGAAGGCGGTAACGCAGAAAAGGGATGTAAGTGCGGTGGTAACGCAGATTTGAGTGATACAAAAACCCTTTGGGACCAGTCACACTTTGGTATGGTATGGTGCTTGCAATGGCAGCCTCGAGTGACACACACTTTGTGAGATATGACCATCTTTGCCTAACAACTGGCGATCCGTGGCTGAAGTCAACGAAAAATCATTAAAACTCTATATTAGCACCAAACGTGTCTCGAATGAATGGAGAAAAACCGCAGATCTCACGAATCGACCAGGACGCAAACTCTGCGTCGTCTACGTCCGTCGTTCGCCAGTCTTTGCTGGGAGAGCTGCTGGAGGAGTCCCACATGGAACTGCAAGCCGGCACCTGAAGCGGCCAGTTCGGACATGCCATGGCCTATTTGTGGGGACTGGTAGGGAGATGCGTAGAGCAGATCCTAGAAATGATGGCTCCTGTTTTGCTTGGGGGAAAATTGTATGCGGACAAGAACTTGGTTTTGTGCGTTGAAAATCCTGGATGCAGGCATCTAATCTAATAGGCCACTATTATCAAGCCAACTGGTCTTTGCAGGACAAGGAGTGGCATGTGTTCCTTATCTCAGGGCCCTTGCAGCCTGCAAAAGCCATTTGTGTGATATCACGAAAGGTAGCTTGAGCTACCTGAGTTCTCCTTGGTTTAGCAAAAATGTATTACAATCAGGAGTTGGGATTGTGCATTGAGTTTGGTCCTGTAAGAGATGATTCTGTTCGTCACAGGGCCCCCCTGGATCAAATCCCCCCTGCGCCGGTTCACGCCGTCATGGACTTCTACCAGGGTTACTTGTGATTGCCTGCTACCTTTCGTTCACCCCCTCCTCGCTCAAGTCGCTTCTCGATCCTATGCATTTCTCATCTCTATGCAATACGTTAGGGTGAGCAGAATGGCCCCAAATGGGCATGTGACACACCTTTCCTGTCTCAGGCAGCCATTCCATTCGAGGATCTGGTGACCTTCTCAGAGGAAAATGATGGGTATTGACGGCATGGATGAGTAGACCTGGAAAAGCGAAGATGTTTTAGTGCATCAGTGGACAGGTTTCAAGAACAAAATATGCATAATTACATATACATGTGTGTGTGTGTGTTGCAGCTTCCTCTACCCATCCTCGAATATGTTTGTTTCAGCGCAAAGACCATGCTGGCAGTGATTCCCATAAACATCAGAGATGCTTTGTGGGTGCCATTCACTTGAGAACACATTTATGACTAGGAGAAGTCGGGCTTGGCCTCAGACATTGCTGCATCCTTGCTTTCAAGGTGCGGCTTGTGTGGATGGACGGGGGTGCTATTTTCCGAGGGGCTGATACATAGGCCATGCTTTGTATACACAAGCAGAATGAACAGAGTTTGAGAAGTATCTCTGCCAATGAAGTGACGGAATGACTGCTTGATACCGCTTGCATTTGTGATAAGATAATCTATATCATCATATGTTGTTGAAATTGTCCAAGACGCCCATGAAATGCCCTTTTGTTGGGAGGTTTGTTGTTTGATGTCCGATTTGTATTCCGTTCTTGGCCAGGCTACCTGGTGATTTCCAGGCCAGGGCTTTTGGAATCACACGGGAGGAAAGTGTTTGACAATAATGTTCACCAACATCAAGATGCTCTGCCGAATATTGCGGTTCAGTCATCACTGGTCATATTTGGTCATCAGCAATTAAGTCGAAAGACCACAAACCACGCAACGTTGTCATACCACGCCCAAGGCCCATCCTTGTGAGATTTGATGGTGTTCCTTCAGAAAACGCTCCAATGTCATGTCTCAAAGACTCTAAGGCGATGGCGGCGATGGGTGACTTTGGGGTTTATGACCGCCTTGGCCTGAAGGTGTCAAGGCCGATTGGGGGCCAAGTCGCACTAAGGCTTCACGTTGCTCCACGCTGCTATCAGGTCGAAAAAGGGGTCGGACAAATCGATCGAATGGCACGAACCGAAACCCCGTTTTGTCAGCTCTTTGTTACATCCAGAGAAGAGCGGGCAAGGCTGGCAAGGAAGGTGCTGTGTCCTCGCTTGAGGAACGCATATCCAAGCATCGCAATGAGAAGATGACAAAGTAACCATTACAAAACTGGCGCCGCAGTTGAAAGCAGGATCAATGCATGATTTGCCTGTCACCCTGAAATTCTAGCAGTTTCCAGGGCAATTGTGTTCAACACTGAACTAGGGAATCATTCAAGGAGACAGACGGGAAAGGAACAACTGTTTGATTCCATAGGAGTCTATGACACTATTGCCTTGAGCCTTAAGTTGATCAGGTTGTTGCGCTGTCTTGATTCATTTTAGTCCTCGAACACCAGGGAAGAAGCCTGCATCTCGTCCCTCTACAAGCAGGCAGCCTCAGCAAATGGTGGCGAATGCTCCCGACTGGATGTATTTTCCGATAGGAATAGAATAGAGGCGGTGTGTTAGGCTGACAGAGGTTTTGAAATCATTCAACCATGAGAGAGCTCTTGTGCAGAAACGCTCATGCGCCTAACCACCACGAAACCATAAGAAACAAAAGAGCCTAGTCGGACATGGTCCAAAAAGTGGGGTGCCGCCGTGAAACAACATCGGCTCTCAGTGAACCAATATGTGTTTCAAGTTGTTCTTTGGCATTGCCATGTGGGTATCAGTTCTCGGCGGGTGCAGATTCAGTGTTGGCCGCTGATGGTTGGGCTGGATTTGAATAGCAGTTTCGTTGGCACCATCAGACAGCAAGAGCTCGCTGCATGTTGCAGGCAGATACCACGTTGGATCATCCACTTTAAGCACTGTTTGATCACACTCTTCAACTGAAGATCCTAAGTGCACAGACAGCATAGCCAAGTAGATGGGATCCGGTTGGCAGTAACTGGGGGTCGATGTTGGTGACGCTGGTTCAAATCACCTCAACCAAGGCATTCTTGAAAGGGTTGTTTTGCGAGACACCACAACTCCGGTGGGATTCTTCTGGGGGGGTCCATGTGGCGTGCATGTGCGCTGGTGCTTCTGGCCGGGGCAAACTCCGTGGAGTACTTTGTTACAGACCGCCCGGCTGCCCAGGGGAGGTGGTTCTAGGGACTACTATATAGCGTAAGTCACCAAGGACTTTCCTTCGCATTTTGTGCAATTTTGCCGTGAAGGTGGGTTATGCCCTCAGAACCCTGGAGCTAGGATGTTTGGCCATTGCTTTGCGGTAGGACGCTATACAGGCCACTCTCTCTCTCTCTATATATATGTATATATACACATACACAGAACCCCGCAGCAGCCACATTGGGAACCTTGGAGCGATGCCATCACAACAGAGAGCGAAAGAGTTTGTCCTTCATTGGCTACCCCGATAAAGATCAAAGATAGGAGGTTGTTGAGGAAGTCCAACCAGTCAATCATGTTGTTGAGGTTGTTGATTGATTTCACTTTGATGTCAATCCTGTTGATGTCATGCACAGGCAGGATGTGGTCTCTTTGAAAGGGAACGCTGAATACTGGTCACACTAAAGGCAGAAACAAGCACTACAGGCTCACTGATTTCCGAATTGAAACTCAAAGCAGCCAAATAGACCGCTGGGTGCACGCCAGGTCGCGTTTATTATGAGGGTGCCCCAGTGATTCCGGGCACCTATAACAACGTGACAGCCTCTTCATGCCAAGTTCCTTGACAAAAAGAGCCAAGTTCTTTGACTCTTGGAGCAATTTCCAGGATGAGACATGAAAACCTCCAGAGTGTGTGCTTGTTACAATTCCATTCTGTCGGGTAGTTAGGCAGCGCGCCAAAGGGCGTTAAGACCACCCCAAGCGCCAGCAGGAATTGCTCGGAAGCACCCAAGTGTGCATGTCCACTTTTCTAGAGCGCATGATTGGGCCATGCGGCCCATGTCATGTTCTGAGGCCTTTTGCAACCTCAACGCAAATTGTAGTTCCTTCTCTTTTTGCGGAAACTCTTGCTACTTAAAGCAGGCCAGCGGGCGCCAGTCTTGGGATATCTTGGGATGCCTGGGATCAGAAGCTATAGCGTGTAGACGTGTAGACGTGTAGACGTGAGACACGACTCATCTCACACTGTGAGTGAGCAGACAGAGATGAAAGGCATGCATCGTGGACGGGGAGCCTTTGGCCCCAAGCTCAGTCGGTGTCCACACAGCTAGCAACATGTCTTACTGTCTTACCCTTACCCAAGATGTCTGACTTGGGATCTGTTGGGTCCGTTGAAGGCATAACTCTACTCTTTCTTGCTCTGCCAACAGAAATGCCCTTCAACCTCAACACTTTGTTGCGCTGTGTCCCAAGGTGAATGCTACGACCTGGACGGATGGCTGCGTCACCTACTGGAAGCAATGTCGTCAGCTGGAGGGTTACCAGGTCACTGAAAGGCTGGTGAAGGAACAGGCCCGTGACGAAATGATTTGGAAGCCATCGTCAGTGAAGGAACCAGCCAAAAAAATGATCCCTGTACAAAATTGCAACTAATTGTAAGGCTGCAAGTCTTGGAGAGTGCTTTATGGTCCGCAGTAGTTAATCATAATTTATCATATGTCATGTGTTCAATCTGGGAACCTCTTGAGTTGTGTTTGATGGCACAGAATGAGGGTGCGCATCCTGTGAATCCTGTTGTTTGGCGCATGAGGGGGCGAATTCGTCGGCAAGGCCCCATCACAACTTTGGGGGAATCTGTTTGCTGATGGGTTGCTTCTCCGACGCACTGAGGGTCCCACCGTTTGATTTTGAGACTTTGTTGGCGACCGCTTCAGTTCCTGACAGGGCATGGAGATCGAGAATGTCATCACTGACAGCTTGGGCATTTGTGCAGATGCTTGCAATAGCAATCCCGATTGCAAGTCCTTCTCCTTCTATGCCCAGTCCAGAGGTTGCCACTTGAAGGTGCGCAAGATCGGCCGCCTGCGAGCGATGATTCTCGAAGTGTCTAGACTCGA